GATAATATTGATAGCCTCCTGACACGCACAATGGCTAAGAGAAAAAAATTGATAAGCTCGTGAGTCTGGGAAAAGCTAGATGGGAGAGAAAAAAAAATGGGAAAATGACATTGAGGTCCCATGTAACACAAAATACTACAAAAAGGTCCCAGGAAATTTGGTAATGATTCTGAAGTCCCAAAGGGACTTCAGTGCAATTTGATGAATTGCAAAATGACGCCTCTGCCCTTGGTGAAATGCCCTGTTTTTCAGTCTGAAAATGAACACTCTGTACGCAGGAAGCAAGAGAGAAAAAACCCAAATTTCATTCTGCTTCTTCCCCCATCCCATCTGAAAATCTCATCCACTTTATTAATGTCAATCATTGGCAAAAATCGCTTGTGTTTTTGGTTTGGTGTGTGTTTGGTCATTCAAGTTGGGGTTTTATTATAGGTGGGTAGGGTGATTGTGGGTGTTTTGTTTCTGGGTATATTGTGGGTGGATTGAAGGTGGGCTTGCTCTGTCTGGGCATAGTTCAGGGGGAACTGATGAGAAAAATGAAGGTTGGTGTGATTAGAAACCCTTACTGCGAAATAGGAAAATATGTTGTCAATAGGGTCGTGACAGTTGTCAATAGAGCTCCTTGACTTGTCAATAGTAACAGCATTGTACAGATTTACATTAACTGATTTTTTACACAAAGGCCATGACCTTCTGTACTCTTGACTCATTGGTAGAGGTCACAAAAAAAGGAAGAAGAGGCAACAAAGAAGGGTGAGTAGTTACATGAGGCAAAAGAAAAAAAAAAGCCACTTTGATCCTAGACAAATGATGGCAAAAGAATTTTTTCATAAATAGAAGTGACATAATTTTTTTGGTAGATGTCACAACACACACAAATAATTAGTTTAATATTGGATACATGCAACTATATGTTTTTTTAATGGGGTTATAAAATCGGTGTAATTACATGTATATGAAGTTGTAAATGAAAGTTAGCTGTGTATTACATTCTGATGCATAGTTTGTTGTCATTATCTGCACCCTTCAGTGTCAATACATGCTTCGTCACTTGTCACTCACTGCACCATCAGTTGTCAATTAATGTACTGATATAAATTTTAAAAAAATATGATTTTTATTACATAATGTTATACAACATCATACAATATCACTAATTCCTCAAAACTAATATATTTTTTATAATATGATATAGAATAGCTATTAAAAGTCAATCATCACTGATATGAAATCATAAAATCACTTGTCATAAACAACATATTCACTTGTTAATGGTTTCGGTGTAACTTGGCATGTTAGATTCTGCTGTCATTTCAATTGTCATTATTCGCACCCTACATTGTTATTAGACCTATTATAACTTGTCAATGGAGCATTGTAACTTGTCAAACCTGTTTTAGTATCATATGATATTTTTAATTACTCTGTCATATTATATTTTGATTATATTGTCATATATAATTATTATTAATGAAGTGTTAATGATGGCACTATGACTTGTCAATGGAAGCACTATGATTTATCAATGGTGGCACTATGACTTATTAATGGTAGCACACTGACTTGTCAATGGTAGCACTGTGACTTGTTGTTCACTGAATAACTTCTCGAAAGATTTGGGCACTGCGGCGGATATGATTAGGTGCCCCGGTGCCTTACACAGAATGGCAACTCCTTGGGACAGATGGGGGTGCCGCGACAGATATGGTCAGACGCCGCAGCGGATTATCAGTTGTCAATGGTGGCACACTAACTTGTCAATGGTGGCACTATGACTTGTCAATGGTGGCACTGTAACTTGCCAATAGAGTACTGTGACTTGTTAATGTAGGCACTGTCTCTTATCAATTGAACATAAATCTGAGTAACACCTTCTTAATAATTATATTTTAATGCAAATATCACTTAACATTATAAATAAATGACACCTTCAGTTATAAAAATTTTGAACATTAATTATTAATATTCACACATTCATTTGTTATAAAATTGTTATATCACTTGTTATTAACTTCTATTATATTACTTGTTATTTTGGATAACTCAGGTTGTTAATTTCTACGCCGGATGCTGTTGAGCTATACACAACTGAGAATTTTAAAAGAAATGAGTCACTTTCTTTTCTAGCAATTGATGATATAATTTCCTTCAATTCTTCATAACTTGTGCCCTCCTTTATATTGTTGTTCTTACACTACCTCTCACATATCTCATATCATCTTCTCTATCATTTATAAACTTTCTCTCTATGTGAACAAAGCAAAATAGATGCTTTTCAGATGTATTCGCCATCAGTAATTTAAACCTGCATCAAGAATCATGCAATTGTCATTGACAAGTTAAGGAGCTACGTTGACAACTGTCGTGGCACACATTAACAACTATCACGGCCTGATTGACAACACAATATCCCATTTCGTGCTAAGAGTTTCTACCCACACTAACCTTCATCTTTTTCTTCCTTCGCTACTAAACTAACATCAGCACAGAGCAAAACCATTAACAAGTGAATTTGTTGTTCATGACAAGTGATTTTATGACTTCATATCAGTGATAATTGACTTTTAATAACTATTCTATATCACATTATAAAAAATGGATTAGTTTTGAGGAATTAGTGATATTGTATGACGTTGTATAACATTATGTAATTAAAATCATATTTTTTTAAATTTATATTAGCACATTAATTGACAACTAATGGTGCAGTGAGTGACAAGTGACGAAGTATATATTGACAATAAAGGGTGCGAATAATGACAACTAACTATGTATCAGAATGTAATACACAGTTAACTTTCATTTACAACTTCAAATACATGTAATTACGTGATTTTATAACCCCATTAAAAAAAAAAATAGTTGCATGTATCCAGTATTAAACTAATTATTTGTGTGTGTTGTGACATCTACCAAAAAAATTATGTCACTTCTATTTACGAAAAAATTCTTTTGCCATCATTTGTCTAGGATCAAAGTGGCTTTTTTTTTTCTTTTGCCTCATGTAACTACTCACCCTTCTTTGTTGCCTCTTCTTCCTTTTTTTGTGACCTCTACCAATGAGTCAAGAGTACAGAAGGTCATGGCCTTTGTGTAAAAAATCAGTTAATGTAAATCTGTACAATGCTGTTACTATTGACAAGTCAAGGAGCTCTATTGACAACTGTCGCGACCCTATTGACAACATATTTTCCTATTTCGCAGTAAGGGTTTCTAATCACACCAACCTTCATTTTTCTAATCAGTTCCCCCTGAACTATGCCCAGACAGAGCAAGCCCACCTTCAATCCACCCACAATATACCCAGAAACAGAACACCCATAATCACCCTACCCACCTATAATAAAACCCCAACTTGAATGACCAAACACACACCAAACCAAAAACACAAGCGATTTTTGCCAATGATTAACATTAATAGAGTGGATGAGATTTTCAGATGGGAACGGGGGAAGAAGCAGAATGAAGTTTGGGTTTTTTCTCTCTTGCTTCCTGCGTACAGAGTGTTCATTTTCAGACTGAAAAACAGGGCATTTCACCAGGGGCAGAGGCGTCATTTTGCAATTCATCAAATTGCACTGAAGTCCCTTTGGGACTTCAGAATCATTATCAAATTTTCTGGGACCTTTTTGTAGTATTTTGTGTTGCATGGGACCTCAATGTCATTTTCCCAAAAAAAATTAATAAGCTCTTGACACGCACAACGGCTAAAATTTGATTAAAGCTCTTCTCAAATAATTGATAAGCTCCTGTCAGGAACTTATTTCCATTGAGCATTCAGTAGCCTAAAAATTAAATAAGCCCAATAGGAATTAAGCTCTCCCAAACAGACCTTGTTGCTCAACCCAGCTCAACAGACCCATTATTGTGTTATTATATGGGTTTGAAAGGTATCTTCAAAATGTCAAATGCAAAATTATAATGTTAAACAAAAGAATACTGTAACTATGCCCATTTTGGTCATTTTACTTTTTCTTCTACTTCTCAGGTGTTTGTCTAGCCCTTTTCATAGTTTCTCCCACATCTGTTGGGGCTATTTGATCCTCTGAACAGAAAATAGTCTGCTTAGGTCAAACTTGGCTTGGCCTCTTTCTCAAGAAGCTAATTCATTTGTTGTGTCATGAATATTAATATGAAATAGGGAAAATCGTAAAAAAAGATTGCCAAAGTAAAAAAGAATACAAATAGAGATCCATTACAACATTAGTATTGGTTTTGACAATTTTTGTAAACGGATTCCTATGTGTAATTTTTTCAATTTTTAGAATTTTTTTTTTGCAATTTTTCGTATGAAATGTGATTTTTATCAATATTATTTAAAAGGAAAAATTGCAAATGACTGAATTATAAAATTTTATATTAGGAATCGTAACGACATTCTAATTTGTTTTGACAGGAATTAATTTGCAAATAACAATAAATTTTTATAAAAATTCATGAGGAGATTTTGCCATTTTCATTGTTTCTTTTTAGTTTTCCTATTTAAAAATTATGAAAAACGTGGTTTATTTTTTGAACTTTGCACTATAAAAAATCTGCAAAAGCTCAAATCAGACGTGTAGATATAATTTTCAAGAAGTATCCATGAGAACTTGATTTGTTTCTCTTGCGCATTGTTATGACCCTGTGACCTTTATATTAACAAATCTTGATCACGCGCTCTGACCATCAAATATAAAATCTTTAACATCGCATATTTTAAAATAAAGAATAACGTAACTTTTTCGTTTTTTTGTTTTGTTTTGGTGAGAAGAATAACGTAACTTACCAAGCCTTGTGTAATACACAATAGGTTAGTCCATCTCAAATCCAAGTATGAATTTTTGTTTTTGTCCGCGGATCATGTGCAGGGGTTATCCACAGGTGACAGAGATGATTGTAAGGATCAATTCAGAAGGCTTAAATTGGGGCTGGAGGTGGATGGCGTAAATTTGTACTCAGTAAGAGGATGTATTGAAGGTTCCTCAACTATAAACTTAAAGGCATAGAGAAACAAAAGAGCAAATAATAATAAAACTCGGTAATTTTGTCTTGAAACTAACATTATGGTCTTGAGCGAAAGTTACTAACTTACAATAATCTCAATGCCGGAGTGAAGTTACTTTTTCTTTTAGTAAATGAAGAGGGCCAGAAAATGATGTTTTCACTGGGATTATAGTGTTTATTCGTATGCATTACACACTAATTTACATCTGCAGCCATTATATAATACACCTGAAATGAAGCGAACCATTGAAAAAGGAAACAGCTCAGTCCAAAACTGGGCTAGCTGAGCAATGTTCCATCACACATCAAGCTTAGGAGGAGGCTGCTCCGTTTTTCTCCAGTTGTCTTTGTCTGGCTCTCTCCATCTTCCGCTTCCGCCATTCTTCCAGAGCTGACAATGACAGGCATAAGAGCCAAAGAAGAATTAAAGCCTAATCTGATAAATAAGTTCTGGGTAGCTTCAGGTATCTCTGCGGGATTCAATTGGACCAACACATGTGCTCCGCAGAGCAAGTTTTAGGATACTCTATTATAAATTAAATTTTTAATGTGTTTTCCTTCTTAGAAACAACATTATGGAAAGTTCAGGGTGCCCTTGAACAAAATTTGAGGTTAAATCCCCGCCAGTGACTGGATGAAATAGTAAAGAGAGGGGGGAGGAGGGATCCATACTAACAGGTGGCCCTCACCTTTCTCTCTCCTTACAGCTTCCAATCACTGAGGAGATTCAGGCCTTCTGGCAGGACATATTATGAGATTCAAGAAGACAAAACGGGCAAAAACAGGGGACAAAAGGTTGCAAAGTAGTGATGCGGGGAACAGGTCATATATAGTGCAGCTTTGGGGCTTGATAGGCTTTGGGAGTTTGCAAGTGTAACACATTAATTTAGCCTAGAAAGGCGAAGATGAAAGAGGCGGTAGCTTTCTCTTTGCCGGGGAGAAATGAATATGTGGTAACTGAAAATCAACAATGTTAGCAGATGACCAACAAACACAATAAACATCAAAAGAATAAACACACTCCTCGTGAGCTCAGAGATGAACTGTTTCTTCAAATACGGCTTCTAATTAGAGCATTCTCAGAGATGATCTGAGCATAATGAAATAATTGATCCATGACAGAACTGCCCACCATCGGACAATGGTGAAATGAGCAATGTGAACTTTGTGTTTGTTACTCATCATTGAGCACAAAGGAGGGAGAAAGGGTAATGATTGAATTACTCATCTATGAGCGTAGGGTGAAAGACAGTCACCTTTCAAGCTGGCAGCATCATTAAGGGAACGAAAATCCTTCAACCTTTTTGAAAGATCAACTGCAGCAGTCTGCTTAGTGTCTTTCTGCTGGACTTTTTCCAGTCCCGTGTATGTTTCTTGCTCAATCTCCTTCACCTGGAATGAAAATAATTCTTATACGTGGGGAATTTATTCCAAGTTATAAATTCTAAGATGTTTCTGTAACCTTTTGACATTATGGATATCAGGTTCAGGTCCCACCCAGCCTCTTCAACAAAAGACAAGCAGAAGAAAACAAATGCTGGAATAATTACACATTCTGCTATGATCCGCCCAAGAGTTTAATAAGCTTCTTTGCTGTTAAAATAAGTTAATGCTTCAAATGGATATGCATGCAAACTTTGCCAACTTGACCAGGTACCAGTGCTACTGCATTTTCAAGGCAAATTAGGCAATACAATGGGTGGATAATTGATTTTGAGTTTCTAGACCTACTGAAGAAACAACAAGAGGCAAAGTTTGTACCTAGTTTTCAGTTCCAGTACTTCATGGCTACAGTCTAATTTTCCATGTCATATTTAACTTTTAAGTCAAAACAAACGCTTGGTGATATTAGGAAAGTGAGGAGATCTTGTACATCTAATTGCATATATGGAGATGCAACGCATCAATGATCACGATGTATGTTCATTTCGTAGCAGCTCCAGAACTGAAGTTCCGAATCTTTTTTTCCCTATGATCAGATTATACCAGGAGGAAAATTAGTTGCTCTGAGCTATTTAAGGCGACAAATTGGCACCACAAGATATTTCCATAGTACGCCATCTGAGAACATTCGCTTTTTCAAGCTTATGTATATTTTCCATCAAATGATATCATAATCAAGTTATAACATGTAGAAGTTAATTTGAAACCCAGCAGTGTGCTAGAAATCAATTTTAAGACATTACAACTCAAATCATATTTAATTATAGACTGCCACTGCGAAACTGGACAATAATTACATTGCAAGATGAGTGCAATGATGAAGCTTTCTAGCAAGCTTGAAAATCGACACTTGTATGGTAAATGAATGGGAACACATCAAATTCATTGCATCACACCAAAATCTTCAAAATAAACTATCATTTTTCCAGCAAAAGGAAAAATATTTCTCTCAGAATCCTTTGGCCATTTCTTTTAGGCATATACAGGTCATAATCAAGAAACAAAATGTATACAGTGAATGAAAACCACAACTTCAAACTCACTCTTTTTATCAGCTCCAATGGTAGCATGGCAAGACGAACCTCTTCAGATTGCTTGATATAACCTAGTTGATCTGAAATTCAACATATCATGCAGTCAATTCAGCAGCCATTTCAGTATGAGAACATCAATCTGCCATAGGCATGCCGAAAGGAGAACCAATTTGCTGATATAATATGCCATTTATTTCTGTACAAAATTCAAAACTACAATTTTAACGAGTTATCTTATTTCCATGTAGCTTTAAGGTTGGATATTAAGATTCCTATGCCATTTTACATAGCTTTGGAAAGATTTACAAGTCAGGCAGAAGGCCAGACATTCTATCAAGCTCCATGCAGTGTAAAGATTAGAGCCTTAGTTGCTTTAAACGATCCAAAGTTCCAGATGGATTAAAACAAACAAATCTGAAATCAGAAGCCAACAGGATTTCAAGTTTTTTTTTCTAAATTCACAAAACCTCCTGATTATTCATTCGAGGGTTTGGATAAACGTTTGAAGATGTGAAGTAAATAGGGCAGTCTGGTGTATCTGTTTGCAGCAATAGAAAAGGAATGAACACACAGCCTCACACCTATGAGTGAATTGATACATCCTTATGATCACATAACAACTTCAACTATTTGAAATTGTTTTAAAAAACTTTATTGATTTCAAGTAACAAACAAACTATTGTTTGTTATATCACAAAATATAAACGCGAGCTGTATTATATTCAGGCACCAGCCGCAAGTTTAACTTTCATCACTAGAAGAGCCACAAAGATGAAATCAGAAAATATTGAGCAACACTAACAACTAATTGTGAATTGTGAATTGTACGAAAACACAAATTTTGCCCGAAATTTCTAGATTCTAACCATAGCATCAGTACTTTTTATGGCCAATGCAACCCGACCCAAACTCAAGGATCTAACAATAATTAAATACAAAGGCATCTCACAATCAAATCAAAGTACTGCCAGGCACCCAAGAAGAAAAGAAATGAAAAGAATATCACCACAATCCACCGAATAGATTGCCAAAATCATAGGGAAAAAATTAATGGAAAAAATAAAATCTTCTTCAATCCTAACCTAAATCGATTCCCCGAAGGGGGAAAAAAAATGACTGCTAGTGCTAAGCAATAATCACCTAAAAGAAAACCGAATAACACAGATAACAAGAGTGAAGATGACCAACCAAAATCGGAGTGTGTGCGGGAGAGTTTATTTCGGGTGTAGGTGGAAGCGATGAAGCCTTGAATCAAGAAAAGGGCAACAACTACGTTAAAGAAACACACGAGTATTGTTGCGTTCCTGAAGGAGAACCTCATTCTCCACCATTGCTGAAACTCCATTTTCTGCGTGTCAGTGTAGAGACGGTGGAAAGGGTTTTCATAAAAAATTTCCTTTATTCACGCCGGGGATGTGGGTGGGGCCCAGGAGGCGACTTCAAGTCTGCCTATTTCATCTAACGCAAGAAAATTGGGAAATGGATTGACGGGATTCTCATCTCTTCCCCTTCCTCGCGTTTTTCCTCCACGATCAAATCAACATTTAAATAGTTCGAATTTATTTATTTTAAAAAGATTTTTAATGTAAATGTTTGGGAAAATTGCAAATAAAGACCCTCCAATATATAAAATAGCTATCAAGGACCCTGAATTTGGAAAATAGCTTCAAAGGACCCGATCCCAAATTGCAAATATGAAATGATGGTAGAATGTCCAAAATGCCCTCTGCTTTTCTCTCTTTCTTCCTCTCCAGATCATCTTCTTCCCGACCTTGCCTCCTCATTTTCCTCTCACTCTTCGTTTTCTCTTTCCTCTCCAAGTTTCCTTCCCTCTCCTCACTCTTTTCCCAAAGTATATGGAACTCCCAATGTCTTTCGGTGGTCCTCTCCTCATTGTCATCCCCGTCACTTTCTTCTTATCTTGTTTACCTGCTCTTTCGTCAACAATGAAGCCTCTTCCATCATTCTCTCTGTTGCTGTGGAAGGAGAGGAGAGTCGAGAGTTTGAGGGAGAGTGACAGTCATTTGTAATGCTTGCAATGTGTGCTTGCAATGTGTGCAGTGATTGCTTGGTGCTGAGACAACGCCCAATAAATCTGGATTTTTATTCTTCATTTCTATTTTGATTTTCAGCTTGTGTTCGTAATTGAAAAGAGTTTGATAAGTTGTTGAAAATAACAAGTTGACAAGTTCTGATACCCAGTTCACGACAAGTTCAGTAATGCGAATAACAAGTTTAGCAAGGCGAATAACAACTTCTGATAAGCAATTCATAGAAATTCGAGTTTCTCTGTTAAAATGACAGCATTTTCAGATTTCTTTAGCAGATGACAAGTTCTGATACACAATTCATGACAAGTTCAGTAAGGCGAATGACAAGTTTAGTAAGGCGAATGACAACTTCTGATAAGCAATTCATAGAAATTTGAGTTTCTGTATTAAAATGACAGGTTCCTAGTAGGTTTTCATACTTTTTCCTGTTAAAATGACTGGATTTCCACATTGATTTATCAAATGACAGGTTTATAATAGAAAATGACAAGTTTTCATAAGATTTTTATGCTTTTTTTTGCTGGAATTACAATTTCCACATTTCTGACAGCAACAACTTCTGATAAATACGAAATGACAAGTTCAGAATGAAAAATGACAAGTTAAGTATAGCAAATGATAAGTTCCCACAATGTTTTCATACTTTTTCTGCTAAAATTACAATTTGCACATGTCTGACAGCACCCACTTCTGATAAACACGAAATGACAAGTTCATAATGGAAAATGACAAGTTAAGTATGGCAAGTGACAAATTCCCATAATGTTTTCATACATTTTCATACTTTTTCTGGTGGGATTACAATTTGCACATTGCTGATAGCAATCACTTTTGATAAACAATAAATGACAAGTCCACAATAGCGAATGACAAATTAAGTATGTAAAATGACAAGTTCCCATCACGTTTTCATACAAATGTAAATTTCTCTACTGAAATAACAATGTTCAGATTTCTGACAGCAACCACTTCTGATTAACATCTTTCATCATCAACTTCACCTCTCATTTCCTCCTAATGTATAAAACTATAGCACCAGAACTCTCATAAGCCCCTCAAGAAGCATGCTCATATCAACACCAGTGGCAAATGCACTACGATGATCATATCCACTCACAAGTGCATCCTCAACCATGAAATCCCAAATATAAATTGCCATATCATATGAACAAGAAACCATCAAATTCTACATATAAAGCATGCTCATATCGTTTGTTCCTCACATGCCACACCTTGATCAATTTTTCCACCGAAATACAATCATCATACTTGATTTTCACAATTTAGAGCTTGTTTGCAATTATCAGAAGTGGGTGCTGTCAGACATGTGCAAATTGTAATTTTAGCAGAAAAAGTATGAAAATGTATGAAAACATTGTGGGAACTTGTCATTTTCTATACTTAACTTGTCATTTTTCATTCTGAACTTGTCATTTCGTATTTATCAGAAGTTGTTGCTGTCAGAAATGTGCAAATTGTAATTCCAGCAAAAAAAAAGCATAAAAATCTTATGAAAACTTGTCATTTTCTATTATAAACCTGTCATTTGATAAATCAATGTGGAAATCCAGTCATTTTAACAGGAAAAAGTATGAAAACCTACTGGGAACCTGTCATTTTAACACAGAAACTCAAATTTCTATGAATTGCTTATCAGAAGTTGTCATTCGCCTTACTAAACTTGTCATTCGCCTTACTGAACTTGTCATGAATTGTGTATCAGAACTTGTCATCTGCTAAAGAAATTTGAAAATGCTGTCATTTTAACAGAGAAACTCGAATTTCTATGAATTGCTTATCAGAAGTTGTTATTCGCCTTGCTAAACTTGTTATTCGCATTACTGAACTTGTCGTGAACTGGGTATCAGAACTTGTCAACTTGTTATTTTCAACAACTTATCAAACTCATTATTTTCAATTACGAACACAAGCTGAAAATCAAAATAGAAATGAAGAATAAAAATCCAGATTTATTGGGCGTTGTCTCAGCACCAAGCAATCACCGCACACATTGCAAGCACACATTGCAAGCATTACAAATGACTGTCACTCTCCCTCAAACTCCCGACTCTCCTCTCCTTCCACAGCAACAGAGAGAATGATGGAAGAGGCTTCATTGTTAACGAAAGAGCAGGTAAGCAAGATAAGAAGAAAGTGACGGGGATGACAATGAGGAGAGGACCACCGAAAGACATTGGGAGTTCCATATACTTTGGGAAAAGAGTGAGGAGAGGGAAGGAAACTTGGAGAGGAAAGAGAGAACGAAGAGTGAGAGGAAAATGAGGAGGCAAGGTCGGGAAGAAGATGATCTGGAGAGGAAGAAAGAGAGAAAAGCAGAGGGCATTTTGGACATTCTACCATCATTTCATATTTGCAATTTGGGACCAGGTCCTTTGAAGCTATTTTCCAAATTCATGGTCCCTGATAGCTATTTTATATATTGGAGGGTCTTTATTTGCAATTTCCCCTAAATGTTTTTTCCTATCTCAACTTTCATGAGTCACTGTCTAAACGTTTTAATTGCCTTCATCCAAGAACCGAGTTTGTCATTCCTTGTGACATCTGGCATGCCAAGGAAGGGTTAATGTCCCCGTTGTTTAGTGAACATTGGTTCCTCTTTCCCCTCCGAGGATATCATGTCTAGTGAGTTTCTTGACCTTGAGAAAGTTTGACGCGGAAGTTTTTTTTATTATCATATGCAATGTGTATATATACATGAGTAAACAGCTATACAGTATCGCTGTCGAATCAATTTGGATCCTACGTCGTCGTCAACTATTTAATATATGATCATAATGTATATCTAATATATGATATATGATTCTATCATATATTTACAATTACAAATCTCTACGTACCTAGTAATATAATATTTCGGATATATCTTGATCTCTAACACTCCCCCTCAAGTTGGTGCATGTAGATCCATAATGCCCAACTTGCTTGTGAGCATCTTAAGTCTGTCTTTTCCAAGAGCCTTTGTAAACATGTCTGCAGACTGATCTTGTGTCCAAATCTTACATGGCATGATCTCCCCATACTAGTATCTTTCTCTCACAAAGTAGCAATCCATCTCGACATGCTTGGTTTGCTCATGAAAGATAGGATTCATGGCGATGTGTATTGCAGCTTGGTTATTGCAATAAAGTGAGGTCGCTCCTTTCTATGGTGCCCTCAATTCTGTAAGTAACCACCTTAACCACATCACTTCACTTACAGCATGTGCCATTGCCCGATATTCTACCTTAGCTGAGGACCTTGCCACAATATTCTGTTTCGTTGTTCTCCATGACACTGGTGATCCTCCCAAAGTCATGAAATAGCCACTACAAGAGCGACGAGTCTCAGGGCAACCAACCCAGTTTGCGTCACAGTATGCCTTAAGCTCTAAGGTACGTTTAGCTCGAAGCACTGTGCCCTATCCTGGAGTACTCTACAAGTAACGTAATATTCTCTCCACTGCCACCATGTGTGGGTGCTTTGGTGAAGATGCGTACTGACTCAATATGTTGACGGCATATACTATATCCGGACGCGTCACAGTTAAGTATTGAAGTTTCCCAACCAAACACTGGTAACATGAGGCATCCACATTAGGGTTACCTTCATTACTTTGCAACTTATAGTGCTATTCTATGGGAATTAGGCTTTATTTGTAGTTCATCATATTTGTTTCCCTCAAGATATCTAGACTGTATTTCCATTAGCTCAAGACAATACCCTGTGGTGAACGTGCCACTTCAATACCGACAAATTATTTTAGCCTTCTTAGGTCTTTGACACAGAATCTTCGATCAAGGTACCTTTTGGTTGCTTGTATTTTTCTTTCATCATTGCCAGCCAACAACACATTATATTGGGCTAAGAAACCCCAAAAATTTAGTGCAGCCATGGCCTAATAATTAAAGAGAGTTTAAGCCCAAAATTAAAAAGAAAAACTAAGAAGAAGGGATACTTGGCTTGATCTGAAAATTGAGGCAAATAATAAGAGACACATAGCCCCTTATGTGGTAGAAAATGGTGCCATCTTGGAGGGAAGAAGGTCAGATTTTGAGCTTTATAAATACCTCCCAAATACAAGAAATTTGGCCAAAATTGGAAAAATTAGAGAAAATTCTATCCAACCAAAATCTCACCCTTAAACAGTACCTAAAACCCTCCAAATTAAAGGAAAATCATCAAGTTTCAAGCAAGGATCCATTAAGGTATGTCTAAACTTTATTTTGGTTAAATTTAAGGGTTTCTTTGGTTGAAATTTCATGACAAATCCCAAGCTTGAATGCTATGATTTTCAGTCACATTGAAGAAGCATTATGGAAGGATAAAAACCATGAAGATGAGCTTGGAATTACATGTTTAATTGATGTTTAGATTGAATTGTGGCCACTATATAAAATTGAGGTTAG